ATGCAATTAATTTGTAAGTAAAATTATTGTACACAAATGTGAACTTAAAAAAGTATATATAAATTAGTGAACTGATTTTATTTGACAACTAATTGGTTTGTATTTGATAAAGTAAATAAACACATTGAAAAATTCATGCAACTAACAAATTTACACACATTTATTTGCTTTTTTCTTAACAAAATTACTGTTAGACTAGTTTTAAAAATTTGACAATTGTAATAATTATACAGGTTCTGTACAATTTTTCACTTCCGATCTAAACATCTCGTGCAAACACTTTAAATTTTCTGATCGATAATACCAACGAGATCAGAGTTGATCTTACGTGTTTCAAATATTCAGTATTTAACAAAACTTACGCTTTATTATACATTTTACTCACAAATTAAATTTAGCATTAATTAAAATACAAGCTTTTAGAAGACACTTTGTCATACATTATAGTTTTTGTGTTGTTTCGGATTAACTCTGAATATGTATGATTTTAGTACCGTAAAAGTAAATCAATTTTAAACAGCCTCGTTTGATTATGGAACTATTTTGGTTTATTTATGAATGAAAAACTTTAAAGTAATAAGATCTTTTTTCGAAAGCAATAATAGACAAAACTGAGTATTGAGTGTTTTGTTGCAAAAAATTTTTAATCACTAAACTGATATCACTGATAAGCTGCTCCAGTGAGCCTTTAATTATTGCAATTATTAAAAAATATACTATACGCTAAAATCAAATAATTAATGTGAGAGTCAAGTTAAGGCTACTCTCTCTTATATCTTGCACTCATTTGAGCTTAGACATAAGCTTGACAGTAATCTGTATTTCACTAAAATTTTTTGATTGAATATAGATCAATCAATTGATTGATCAAATAATAAAACTCGTATAAACCCACAATTTACGAGATTACATTTTTACAAATTGTAAAGCAAAACTAAAGTAATTTGCTCGAAAAACTGGCGATATTAGAAGGGAAACTGGAAGATGAAGTAAGACTGACAAGAGGATATTTTGACCAGTTGATTTTGTTTGTTTTGATAAAATGATAAATTTCGCTAGTTCTACACCTGTGCAACCGGTAGTTCCCGAGATATCTTATACTTTTTCGACACTTGCTTGTTATGATTGATAATAGTACTAGCTAGTGATGACAGAAACAGATGAAAATAATTTTTTAGTGTGATAGTGATAGAATTAATTAATTAATTAATAGAAGTAAATAAGATAAGCTATAAAATTTTGCTTAATTAATGCCGATTCACTAGTAAAAATCAAAAATGTGTTAGTCACTTTCAGTATGTTTAATTTAAGTAATAATAATTTTCTTTGATCACAAATACTAAAAAAGGACAGGCTGAAAGCACAATAAATTGATTTCGAGAATAAATATCAGTCTGATTGCTCAACTATTTATAAAATGTTTGATTTATTTTTTCACAAAAAGTTCGCTTGTTTTCTTATTCAATTTCAAAGTCTTCTCAAATTTGTCGAAAAATTAAATTCTTTGGCTAGGAACTGTCTGATTTTTTAAATTTAAATATTGTCATGTCAGTGACATCACTGATATCAACTGAATGAATCACTAGTAATTTGTTAACAAGCATGAGAAACTCTAATTACTACTATTCAAAGAACCACTTGACAGTGTGTAATTAGATGTGTTATTGATTTTGGATGAGATGCAATGAGCAGAAGAGATAATGTGAGTACGAATTAATTAGATTCAGTAAAATGAAGAAATGCAAGGAACGATTTAAAAACTTTGATTGTGGGTCGATTGAGACGAAGAAGGCAATATGAGAAAAGTTGCGCATTTAATACAAATGTTAATTGTTAATTGTACAAATTACAATAATAAACCGAGAATAATTGGAATTATTAAACAAAAAATGATTAATATTTTAAGCAAATGATCGAAAATAATAATTACGATACATGGATTATTGTGATATGTGATTAAATGATTATAAGAGAATAAAGATAATATCAGTGAAATAAAGAGTATGTGATAATGATAATGTAATATAATATTACATTATACATTAGTGAAAATTGTCGTACTCAATGATTAGATGGCATGATTTCGCTGACTGCGCGAGAAATAATTCTGATACTTTATCAGTATAATGTTGATAAGAGAGTGGAAACTGCAAAGTATGTAAAGAGCATTGAGAAGAAGTAGTTTACACAGGAGAGAAATGGATAAATAGTAAGTACTCAAGGACACTTTGGCGTTGAGTAGATGAAAAGTAAAATTTTTGTGTAAACTTTGAAATAAATATTGCAAAAATTATTTAGCATTGTGATTAAATATCAATTAATACTTAATACTTTATCTTTTTCAACTAATTTCATTTTTTTGAAGCAAAAAAGATAATATTCTTGCTGCAAAAGTCAATGCGCTTAATATTACAGACTCATCTTTATTTTTGTTATAATTAATAGCTATAATTACTATTATAATTAGTACTGTACTAAAACAAACAACTATTTACTGCGCTGCAGTCGTACTAACTTTCAATTCCCTAAATAACCAAATTTTTATGCTTAAAAGCATTTGCAGTT